GGCGACCGACTGTATGTCTTATCAACCGCTAATGACTGCATGTAAAAGCCTTTCTCGTTACTAATAACGATGTTTAAGTTGTTAATAACTATCAATCATAATCTTAACGATATCATTCTACAGAATGTTGAATGAGACGACACGTTCTCGCGACTGTACAGGAATAGAAAAATTAGTAGCACAGTGAAATGATGCCAACGCTCCAGTGGTCATGTAAGTTTCCTACCTCACTTTAATAAACACGTCTTCAGCACCGTGAACTCTCCCCGTTCTCGGCATCGCAGCGCACGAATGTTAAGCCATCCGATTGCAATGATCTGAAGAATTCGTGCGTCTTCTGATATATGCCCGCGCTCTTTCGTCCATACCATTCTTCCAGTATAACTTCTGCTTGTTTCATATTCCTCAGATGATAATGTCCCTGTTGATACTTGTTGATTACTGAGACGCAATGTTACCAAAGTGAAGAACAGCATCATTGTTGTCATCCGCCGAATTAGACTGAATAGGTATCACGTACGGATCATGGATAGCCTCGTGGAAAATCTAAGCTCATTGCGTCACAAATCCAGCGTTGAGGACTTTACGATGTCTGGACGGGTCAAGTATTTGTAACGTAGTTGGTGAAAGTATCACCAAACACCGGCATAGTATTTTACTACTTGATTTGAGTTTGTTCTCATCTACATGTTTAACATGCGTTAGTTCAGTTTGATCTTCTAGCGTTCATCGGATTCTACAGTAGGTGGGAATATTAGTTAATAAGCCACTAGTTAGCATATCGACTTCTTCGTCATCGTCTTTATCATTCGCTAATCACAAGTTTAACGACATAATTTTCTTTCCAATTTTTTTAAAGGTCTTACCAATCGGTCGGAATGATTTCCTAGACCAATTGACAAAGGTTTTGCTGAAGCTATTGTATATAAAAGAACAGGACATCAAGACCAATTTTGAGTTGCTCTGTGGCCATGAAGTTGCTGTACTGCCTACACCACGCAATGCGTAAATTGTGTAAATGAATGAGATGAACGTATACTCCAAGTGCATTCTCCGGTTAATCGAGAAATCCCGCGTTAAGGAGACAATCGTCACCATGTGCATTTTATTCGCTATTGGATGTCGCTTATTGGTGCGATATGACAATGTAATCGGAAGGTGTTACTTTCAATTGTAAAGGAAAATAACTCAACACGCGCTGACAAGATAAGAGATGTTAGCTCGTCAATTAGTTTTAGAACATTGTTTTGTAAACCAACGAATTGTATGTATTAACAGACATATTAATCCAAGTAGATTAGCTGTAACTCTGGTTTTGATATCCATTCGAAAATTTGAGCGCGATTAATAAAGCACCCACTCACACTTGTAAAGTTTCCTACTATTCGAATAAAGACTTTATTGCTCACGAATTATTTAGGGCGCTTTTCAGACAAGAAATCAGTGTAAACAGATAATGGTGTAAACAATGTTTCCAGTGACGAGTTGAGATTAGTGAAAAGGATAACACAGACTGTTTATTTATAAAAATATTTGTCAAATTTGAAATTAAAATATTTGTCAGAGCATTTAATTTATTTTCTAACATGATAATTAGTTTATGGAAAGCAAGGATGCGCATTTCAATGATTGTAACAGATACACGTATTAGTCACAAGTCATGCAAACCGACAAGACAACACTTGCTTGCAATGTGACAAACGGCAAGCGTTCACGTAACGTGCCTTCTGCATCGTTGCGTAACCCCCGGACCCGAGTTCTTTGACTTTTAAAAATTTGGATAATCGATAAATTTGATATCCTCGTACGGCCGCATCACCATTTCCAATACAGTACGGATGTCACTGTAGAAGACTAGGTAGTAGTCTTGGGTTGATGAGCCTTGAGTAATATCAATTATCCAAATATTGTTGGGAGTCAAAATCTCCGGCTGTTCAAAAGCGGGCTATTATTGAATAAAAATTACAATTATTTTAGTAATCACGATAACAAATATATATAATATACATATACGTGCAATAAGAATATATAATATTCTGAAAATTCGATTTTTACCTGTTTTGCCGTTCTTATTATGTTAGTATTGGTGGCATCATAAAGCCTTCTTGCGACGAGAAACCAGTCTTCGTCGCACTGTGCCACCAACGTACCCAAGCATTATCAATACACGTTTGACGTGCCAGCATAACTAATAAAATCGCATACACACATGTAAGTTTAAAAATAATTAAACAGTAACAAGATATTAATATAGTATATTTGCAAATTGTAAGTTTACCTTGCCATAAACTGACTCGTTTGTCTCGTCCGTTACCTTGACTGGGATCAGATGCATATTTTTATACGTCGTTGTAGATAGACCGTATAAAAAGCATCTGCCAGTATCCAAGCCGAAGTTTTCAAAGGGAATCCACTCCCGGTAGGCATCGTTGGGTGTTGGCCGTGATAGCGTAATGTAACATATTTGGAGGGTTGTATGTTGGTATGTGTGTATGTGTTTGTATGTGCCGTCCATTAGAAATTAGGAGATCAGTAAAAAGGCTACTTTTCGCATTGGGCGCTTTATATAATATCTGAAATACGTGGATGTGTAACACTTTGGAATGGGGTCTTGTACTCAGGGATCTGTGCTACGGTGGTGGGAACATTCCGGAGAGAGTTGACATAGTTCCGTAAATTTATAGCTGCACAATCTATCGTTCCAATCGTAAATCAAAAAAAGCATGTAAATAGATACTTAATATAATCACAGTAAACTTTAAGAGAGACAATACTGTAGTTGAACATTTAATAATCCAACTGTGATGTATTCTGAACAAAAAAAAAGATCTGTGTCCTTTCTTACTATGATTTGGTTATCCGGTTATTCACCCGCCAATTACTTACCTCCAAGTCATACGTTGCACGCATCATCAGCTTTATTATTGTTCGTCGTTTCCTGATTAGTTAATGTGCAACACGTAAGGTGGTCAAGGTGGGAATAATGGCATTCAAACAGACTTTTGTTTATACCCGACTACGGCAAGTGCGAAGGGACTTTATTGTCCCATTTTAGATGCATGATGGCGTATCTACCTGTGAAAGCGACAGATCGAAAAAGACGCCATTGAGTAAGATTTGCTCTACAATTAACAATTGACTAATAAACGAATTGTAATTTTTTATCCACGGATAAACAATCACTTGTGAAAAAGAAGCAAATGGAACAATTCGATCTATGAACAGAGTAATAAAAGGCTTGGTCTATTACAAGACTAATGATTCTGATAACAACAAACGCATGAAAACGCCAAATAAATATTGCTGCAGAGTAAACATAATTATCGTATCAAATGACCTTTATTGACCCTATTTTGATAACAGATAACGCAAGTGCTCGTGAATGAACGAGAAGGAAAACGTCATCTTGCTTTAAAATTTGTCGGTTGTGCACTCAATCAAGTCTATTTTAGACAGCCGATAACGTAAGTGCTCATGAATGGGGTAAAAAGAAACGTCATTTTGCTTTAAAATTTATCCGCTGACAAGTAGCAGCCTGTTTGAATAAATGGACGAAAAGGGAAAACGCCATTGAGCAAACTCCGGTTCATACTGTGCCAAGAGATATTGTTCTCGGAGATGCGTATTTACCATTCGCGGAGACATTATCAAATTAAAAAGGTTTTGTGTTACAGGAACAAACATCTTCTGCTCGAATGATATTTTTGTCCTCTAAAAAATTTGCGTATTAACTAATACTGATTCAAACAGGCTTAACAAAGTCGCTTGAAACACGTATCATCAGACTGTGTAATATTTGACTCTGTTAAGGCAAATAGTTGGTCATTATAAATCTGTTAAATAAAACAACACATACACTTTGTAGCTGTACACTAATACTAAAGACAAAGATCATGTTTGAAAGACGATTCAACTTGCTCATCAACGCTAGCTAAGGATAAAGCTTTTTACTGAATAGTTCATGGTTGAAGGATTGATGTATCAGTATGCCATTTCTTATTGACAATATTTCGTGTAAATTATAATGCATATTCTCATATGCAAAGACATGATTGATTCTCCTGCGTGTCGTGCTCTTGCAAACAATATATTAAGAGAAATAGGAATGATAGACAGTACGTGAATTGTATGACATACACAGTACCTTTGATTGAATGCTCCTGGAAAGCAGTTAATGAGGTATTTTTGTTAAAGTATAGCTCTACTATTCAAAAACAAAATGTCAGACTCAATTTGCGTCCCACGTTTCAATGTATTCCGAGATTAGAAAAAGAACCTTGTGAGACCATCAAGAGTGTATAACAGGAGGTGCGTCAACTAGCCATAAAGGGATAAAAAAGACTGCGGGACAATTCTCTAGTCCGCTAGTATGGTAGCAACACCAGGCGCGGAACAATAAGTATTAGAAATGTCGATTTCAGTATTCGAAAGAGAAGTTGGCGAATAAACGGGTTTTGTCGAACACGTGTAATTGGAGAATGATTACATGTCTTGACAAGTTAGGGACTAGATAAAATGTGGATTGAAAAGAGTTTATCTGATTAAATTCTGCCCGGCGAATAGAAGATGAAGAACGCTATATAATAGTAAACGCGAAGTACATTATGATTGATTTTCCGCACAATGCACCAGCTCGGTGCGACACAATTAATATGTAGACACGTTTGAAAAGATCGACATAAAAAGTGATGATTTCGTTTGATACCTGATTGATAAATTGTGGGGCCGACAAAAGTATTATTTAGATCACGTCAAGGTGTAAGTCATATCGTCCATTTTGAACTGTAATTGAAGCTTCAGTACACGACGATATTAATTGTGATGGCTCCGCTTTTCAGGTTCTGGACCATTAAGAATGAGAAAATCTTTCTCTTTGCGTTTGCAATCTGATGAAGACCACTAGCTGAAATATCTTCCAGTGTCCGCTACAGCTTCACGAGCGGTTAGTAATATGCCTTCCCTTCTTCGAGATGAGAATGATGAAAGTTAAGTTTATCAAGCTGGACGGAGAAAAACTCAAAGGTTGAATTTATTTACCAAATGGTAGCGTACAAAAATTCATATTTTATATTCTCTCACTAGAGACGTATAGTTGATATTTATCGTTTGTTTGTTTGATCTAAAAGGGCAGAGACAGGCTGACAAGAAGCTTACCCGAGAGAATGCAAAAACTCTCAACGATCTATTTTATCAATTACTGGAAGAAAAGAAGAAAATATGTAAAGTGGATGTTGGAGAATTTAGAAAGCGGGCTATTGAAACGGTTAGAAAAGTCGAGGGTGCGATAAACATGTCACGTCACTGCAAGATGCCTTTAAAGAAAAAGAAGGTCACCACTTTCGAGAGTAAGATGACTTGGAACGCATAAATTCTGTTAGCGAAGGGGAATGCGATGACGGCTGCAACGTCAACGATACCAAACAGCGAATAACTATTCCGCCCGTCACAAACAACCTTCGAGTGGATAAAACGTTACCTGCTGTTCCAAAGACAATACCTCGAGTCACATCACAGAGTAAACTATAGCGCGAATCAATAAATTCAATTATCGAAGATACTGCCGGAGTTTGAGTTTATATAGCGAGTACAGTCAGACCTCTCCAAGTGCAACTCGCCAACCTTCCATTACCGGCGAAATTGACGGGAGACATAGGAAAAAACTGATGAAACTTGCTTATGAAGGGTGAAATGCTTATATAGCTTATAAACTTGGGACTGAACCAGACTTTGCACTTGGAGAGGTCAAACTTAGTAATTGCACTTAGGAGGGTTGCACTTAGGGTATATCGATAACGGAAGTCTCATCATCGTCATTATATTCCCATCATCTATCCCCCTGTATATCGATAACGGAAGTCTCATATCGTCATTATATTCCCATCATCTATCCCCCGTACTGAGAAATATGTTCAGAGACATAAGCGAAGTGGAGAGTGACTGCCGCATGGATGGTGGAGGAGATGCAGACAGTAATAATTTTGGTGGGGGGCCTGCTGTGAAGCTTCTTTTTGATTTTTCGGAAACCGAACCACAAGCGAGCACTCACGACAAGCCACATATAACACAAGAGAACAATCAATAGTATTATCGATTTAATTATTATACAAGTCCGTCCCTTTCTTTCAATACGTTCAAGCAAAAAGAAAAATACCAATATCATGTCTCATCATTTCGCCATACAACCCTCTTGTCGACATACGATTACCTACCTCGTGTAGCAATGAGAGTATGAGCAAAGCACACGTGTTCATTTGAGGATGGGGAAACTATTTTCATAGCACAGCCGGAAGAGCTGGATGATGATGATGATGATGTAATGGATCGGACATAAGGCGTTGTCGAGAAAGTTTTGTGGAAGCTGTGACGGACGAAGATAGATCTCGCCGATGATTGCCCGAATTTTGCGGAAGTGATAAGGTAACCGAGACATGTTTGGACGATGTTCTTAGCGGCGAACTCGAAGAGGAGGAAGAGGATATTCAAAATGAAGATCATACCAAGCGAATAGAGACATGTTTGTGATAAAAACTAGTTGTTCGGTGGGCTCGCGCAATGCTAGTGGCCGTACGAGTTTATTTATGAAAATGATCAACTAGCCAAGTCTGGGCAGAGCAGCCTTCACCTATTTTTTTACGTGTGCTCTCCGAATCGGTGACCGTCAAATGATCGGGAGCACAAGTTGCTTGATGCGCAGAGCGGTTTTATGGCTTTGCTGAGACAAAGTTAAAGAGTGACGATACATTCAGTCAAACGATAAGATTAAAAGTTTCTTGAAAGTGTATGAAATACAACCCCTGTATTGAAATGAGAACTTTCCATTTTAGATTTGAGGCAGGGTCGTGGTGGATTATCAAGAGATCTGAGGAGGGATAATAATAAGACTTTGTAGAATGTTTTGATGTGGATAGCTCGGTCAGTATGACGCCGCTGCGCTGCACTTGCAAGATATCAAGTATGAGCGAATGAAGGATAAAGTAATGCTCTATGGATCATGAAACGACAAAAGAATGGTCATTATCAGAAGAAAAGCTCAGTCGAATAGAGGGATTGTTTGGCCAATATTTCTATACTTTATAAACAGTTTATGTGCTAGAATCAACGCATTCGCGGTATTCCTGCCCTATATATTTTTCACTTGAACCTTTGATAGAGAAACATTTTTGTGGTAGAGCGTATCTGTCAGCTATTACATGAGCTTACCGCGTAATCTACTTCCGGCATAGTTCAGACATTGTTACTAGGAATATTTTGTGCAAGCGTATAAATTGCGCTTCCCACAAACATCGAACAATAGATTGTCGTTTCATATACACTGCATAACATTAAATAAACCGTCGAATATGCAAGGATTGACATGGAACAAGAGACGGACATACCAATAGAGTATTGTTTCAAACCTGGTTTTTTACGTTACGATTGACATAATGAAAAATACAATAAATACTGTTGTTATCAAAATCAAATCTATTGAATCCTAGTCACACGGCCTAATTAATCTACATAATAACTGTGACGAAAACGTAAGACAACCACTAATATTTATTATCGATATGCTTTGAAACGACGCATGAACAGAATAACATTCACAAGCAGCGCATAAATTTGCAAGAGCTCAGTAAGTTAAAAGTAATTTATTAATGGAGGGGTAGTTCTTTACTATTTAGTCATTTCAGAATGAATTAAAGGAAAAGCAGACACGTTTTTAATTGTTTCTGACGACGAGTCATGATTACTCTTTAAACACTTGAAGAATATTTCCTGATTATCTGATTAACTAGAAGCGCTGTTAATTGTCACGATAAATCAATATCGACTCTATTATTCCTACAGTGAGTAGTTGTTTACGTTTTCAAATAATGGACAATTGTATGTAGGTTAATTTTTAAACCTTTAAGCAACTTAATATTTACATAGTTTGTATGTTGGTCATATATTGTGCTTCAATCGCGAAGGGGGGGGGGATAATTCGTTGATCGCACATCATTCGGAGCCTGTTTCCGCATAAACCATTTTGAGATAATATTATTGCAAATAAAATACTGAAATATAATGTACATAAATTTTATATGACATGTAAAAAATTAATCAACAATGAATAAATAATTACAGTAACTATATATTTTTTTATACATACTATTGTTAATTAGTTCCTGATTCTCAAGATAACGGGTTTCTATTTTAGACCCTTATTCATTACTAGAGTACGCCATTGTCCATTTCTGGTATAACAGATACTCCGAGCTTTCTTAAAATAAGAACATACGTTGATATTAATTTTACCAAAACGAAATGCAATGTCCGAATGGATATCAATAAGACCATCTACCGCGGCTCACCTTGTCTGTTCTCTTTTCATTTATGACCAGCACTCATTCTCTTCAAATAGGTGTTTATTATAGATCTTTGTTACGTATTATAATTATCGCGTCATTGAACATGAGTATTGGGTACCCAGAACAAAATGTAAAGACCTCAGTGCATGTCCTATTGTTAATGACACATGCAAATGCTAACCCAGCCACAGTAAACAGGGTTTAAATTGTGACGTGTCGAAATATAATGCTTCTTTTCCCTTTGAAATCACAACCATTTCTGCAGACAATGCAGATGCAGGGATCATAGGCGTATCCAAATACAGCAATCGAACTGCGGAAACATGGCAGCTGATCATTTGTTGATAGCCCCAAAACCTTAGCGTCCTATTGTCTCTGCAATCAATCGTCCTATTGTGTGATGCCAAACAATCAACCGACAAATTAAGCATAGCGTAGTTCTCTGCATGGAATGACGTTCATTGTATGTGTTCAATGTTTATTGGCTGGTATGTTAAGATAACCTTGCTTTAATACTTCTTTTGGAATTAAATCAATAGCCATTGTATAAAAAAACTTTTTACTTCTATTGACCATAATGAAACTCACGGAAATTATTCGACTACTTCCGGAAGACTACTGCAGCTTATACATGACATACGATAAAAACACTTATATATATGCGACCCTTCTCAAACGCCAAATCTCACAAATACGCAAACCGCCACAAACAAAAATCTTCAACAGCCAATCCCACAAATACGCAATTAGAATCAGCAATTCTACTCACTACCAAAAACTCTGCGAAAATGACTCAAGCAACGATTGACACATTTAACCTCGGCCTACGGCTCCAAGCTGCAAAAAATTACGATAAAGCGCTCCAACTGTTGCAAATGGCAGCCGATAACGGATATGCCCTGGCCCTACATCGCTTAGGCGATACGTTCTTGTTTGCCATGGGAGTTGAGAAAAACGATACAAAGGCATTCAGCTATTATAATAGAGCTGCGGGCATTGGTTTGAATATATCTCTGTACAAGGTGGGGTGGTGTTATCAGTGTGGCGTAGGAATTGAAAAAAACTGTAGCAAGGCGATTGAATTCTACACGAAAGCCGCCGACCAGGAATTCTCGATGGCACAATTAGCTCTCGGCTTGTGCTACGAACGAGGCATTGGCGTAGAAAAGGATGCAAAAAAGGCCAATGAATATTATCAGAAAGCAGCCCGAGGGGGCATACACGAGGTATTATGTCTGTTTGGGGGACATTATGAAGACGACCAGCTTCCGGTGCTGGCGTATAAAAAAACCCAACCGGGGCATGCAGACGTTGGATTCTTATTATTATCATGGTATAAAGACGTTAGTAATTCGTTATTAAGAACCTTTTTTTAAGCTAAGTTGAATATATGATACGTAACAAGATTTAATATGTGAATAAGTTTGTATGGGTATGTTATATGTGAATAAGTTTGTATAAGTTTGTATGGGTATGTCATATGTTATATAAGTTTGTATAAGTTTGTATGGATATGTTATATGTTGAATAAGTTTGTATAAGTTTGTATGGATATGTTATATGTTAAATAAGCCTGTATGGATATGTCATATCGAGCAATAAATTGTATTTGAACAATTGTTGTCAACTCCCGCGTGTATAATGCAGAGCAGTAACATGATATCGGTTTTCGAATTTGGCCAATTACGATAAATGCATTGTACAACCTTATAATATCAGTTTATCGAATTTATCGGTTTTGCGAGATCTGCGTTATCGGTTTTACGAGTAAGATTTTATTACAAGTGTTTCGAGAATTGAAAAAAAAAAGTATCGATTTTGCGAATTATCGGTTATCCGAGTTTTGACTGTAATATGAGAAGCGTATACGTGTTATATGAAGCTTATTTCGCCAACTACCCCCCATCTGACGGTTGAGGCAATTTTTGATCGAATGACAGCCCGTGCTTGTACGAAATTTCTAAATGCTCACTACTTCTCAGACATTGTAAATATCGAATCAGATATTGTATAGTTTTGGGTTGGACAAACAGCACGGTTGCACGTTTCTTTGCAGGTATTATATCGTCTTCATATTCAGTGAACAAATGTCAGCACAGCGTGGATTCCGTTGCAGATGTGGCTCTACCTATCTTCCCTGCCACGTCGTCTGCATAATAAAGCCAGTAGGGACATTTAAATAATTGTCATATCTAAACCCACCGATTGTATATAATACTTGTGGTCATTTGCATGAAGATGCCGTGATGAGAACACAGGGTACGTTCCTATTTTGCACAAACAACAGTTATACACATATAAAACGTCTACTCTGCATTACGATGAGAATGAGATCATGTCAATTTAACACGGAGATAAACCGGAGATAAACTTCTTTCTTTTTTTGTACTGCATGGAAAATAAAGTACCAATTATGTTGGTTTGATGTATCGCTTTGACATAGTATCTTTCTTGGGAGACTGTGTCACCTATGAATGTAAGATGCCGTCTCAACGTAAGGGTCATTAGATCCAAAATTAGTTCGGCAGTGCAGGAGTAATATTTATGTTCTTCAACTGATTGCATCATAATCCTATGCATAAACAATACTCACTTGTTTCGCCTACCTCCAAATCGCTGGGAACCCCAAAACTAAAAAAGGCGCATAAAATCTAAGCGTTTTGATTGGAAATTGAATATACAAATTCACATGATTGTTGGACAAACATTCCCTTCTCTCACTACACGTTGATGCCGATAACCAGTGCGGCATCGGGTAGAATCGAAAATGACACGTTCAAATATATGTATTTTCTTTATTATTGGGCTAAATGGTAAAGTAAAGTAAATCTATATTGCCTTTGTTTCGCCAAAAGTGATATATTTTAATTGAATGGAAACGGAAATGGCGCAGAGTTATGGATGCATTTAATTTCCAGTTTTCAACATCAATAATAATAATTTGTTTTGTATTGAATGTTCTATTTCTATTGTACTTTTTATATCCAGATACACATAAATACACAAGTTTCCCCCCGAGGGGGCGACATCCCAGACTATACGTATAAACACATATCTACAATTCACCACACGACTTATCCTCATGATGGTTACCTCAAAGCGCGAATTAGAAATGTATCGAAGGGCTGCCGAACCAGCAGACGCCGAGGCGCTATGTCGCTTAGGAGATTGTTACAAGACCGGGAATGGCGTCAGAAGGGACGCGAAAGAAGCCGTTCGCTTCTATCAGCAGGCCGCCCGACTAGGTCATGTCATAGCAATACACAATTTGGCCTTGTGTTATTCGAACGGAGAAGGCATTCAAAAAAACGAACAGACAGCGTTTTTATTACTTCAAGTCGCAGCGAGGAGAAGTAAAAATGCCGAGACATGTCATCTACTAGGAACGTTTTACGAAAGGGGATGCGGCGTGGACGCCGACTACGGCAAGGCCGTTGAATTATACCAAACATCAGCTGGCGAGGGCGTCATCCAAGCGCAGCTGGATCTCGCAAGATGTTATGACAAAGGAATCGGAGTTCCAGTAGATAAAGAAAAGGCGTTTGAGTTATATCGCATAGCAGCTGACCAAGGATGTGCAGTCGCACAATTTTCGATCGGCTTACGATATCTGTCCGGAGACGGTGTAGCAAAAGACGAACGGAAAGCAGCGCAACAATTGCGAGCGGCTGCTCGACAAGGGCTTGCGGAAGCACAACATCACGTTGGTATGGGTTATTTAGTCGGCACCCCTGGCAAAAACGAGCGAAAGGCAACCAAGCTAATTAAAAAAGCCGCAAAGCAAGGATATGCACCTGCAGTATTTTCTCTTGGATTATGTTACAGTGAAGGCATTGGCGTAAGCCAAGACACGCGACTGGCCGTAAAATTGTATCATGCAGCCGCTAAAAGTGGGATTGTGGGGGCTCTATATATTCTCGCTATATGCTATCGTAACGGGGTTGAAGTAGAACAAGACATGCAAACTGCCCTCCAGTTATATCACATGGCGGCACTCCGAGGACACGCACAAGCACAATACGATCTTGGTCAATGCTACGAAAATGGAATCGGAGTGGAGAGAGATGAACAGACGGCAATGGAGTTGTATGAATTAGCAGCAGAGCTAGGATTTGCGGATGCGCAATTTGCCATCTTTATGAAAATTGACCTGAATTAGATCAATTGCAATATGAAGACAGGAGAATGAAAACAGATCGGTTCTTATTGTTCAATGTAAATACTTTGATTGTCTATTATGTATCTTGACCTAAATTTTTAATTGATGTATGTATGTAAATGTAGTCATAACAATTTTGGCAAAACGGTAAGCGATTTAAGAGGTTATGACAACGAGTAGAAAATTCCTATGGTGGGTGTGATTTGTCAAATACGGGGTTTTTCCTTCTGCAATTGTTAAACAGTGAAGCCAGCTACAATAACCAGGGTTAAAATCTCAGGAATTGTCTTTAACACTGTAATTTGGAGGCATTAAAGAAACAGTATGGTCAATTTTACTGTTAACATAACCATGTAAACACGTGTCAAACATAATAAACATACCCTCATCCTAAAAGTAGCAACTTTCGCTGATTACTATCTTTGAGCATAAATATCACATGATTGTTGATCGTATTTTTATGCATTGAATATGAAAGGCTGTGCTTAGTTTAACTATTACCTACTTCATTGAAAGGGTGCATTGCACCCTTTTGGTTGTCGGCATTCGTGCCGTATTCGGTTCTGAGAGAATCGCACACTAAAAAACTGCATTCGCTGGCTTACGAACAGACCGTTTCAAGGCATGTCAATACGCCAGTACGTATACAATAATAATAAAGGCACTTTCCCCAATTACGACATTTACTTTATAGATAATAGATTTTATAGGAATATAGAGGGTGAACGAAAGAAAGAAATGAATAGAACTGGTCGATATGTGGCGGGCGATGGTTGACGGTGATATGAAGGAGCAGAGGTTTCAATATAGGGCCACGGATCCTAACAGATTCTAACATCACATCAATCTTGTTTCGTTCTATAACATAGCAACTATAAAGCCACCGCTTTAATGGCCTAATGTCTTTGACAAGCCGAACATCTCAAAACTCTTGACAATGGCGTTATTTAAGCAGGAAATAATACTAGTTAACACGGGTTCATAAATGGTAATTAGTTGGAGAGTCATGTTACGGACATGTTTCTGTTGTAAGATAATAAGTTACCCATCCGAATGACTTCCTTTTTTTAGGTAAGGGCTATGGCAATCCCAACATTAGCGCAACTGAACCAATCTCCCCACTCGGCCCAAGAATACAAGCACCCTGCTGCCATCAAGTCCGCTCTTCTATAATTAAACTACCAGACAACACTCCATCCGACTTTACCATCCACCAGTCTCAGTAGTCCCTAGACTATCGAGAATGCACCGTCAACGAATCTTTGGAATGGCGATGTCGAGAATTCATCGCCCTTACTTCGGCTAAGCTTTCCGACAAAGTCTCAGACGACATTGAGTACAGTGACTGCTTGGTCTGAATTTATTCCAGAAAGTGGGAGATGAATAGTCGAGTGCCGAAACTGCTTCAAAAGATTTGGCTTTATAACTCAAAGAGCATCATTGCAGGTTTGTTACAAGCTCATGAAAATAATATTTTGAATCTACGCTTTCTTGATTATTGTCATTACGTCTTTTCTCATACTGTTTTTTTTTTGTTTTACCCCAGATGCCCTTTTTTCTTACATCTTTCCTCACCTTGTGAAACAGATTATACGCGTAAATTTGTCAAACGGTTGGGCCAAATGGGTGATAAACTCCATCTAAGGCTAAATATTTGTGAGAGAACAAGTACCGTGAGAGCAAGAACTTTGAAAAGAGAGTAAAACAGCACGTGAAATTGTCGAACAAAACTACCGTACGGCAGCAAATTATTATCAAAAAGCTGCAGCACAAGGCCATCTCCTGGCACCAATATACTCTGGCTTGTTTTTATTAAAAAAACGATCGGAAAGCCTTCGAGCTGTATCAGACGACGGCCAATAAAGGCCTTACAGTGGGTATTCGCAACCTTTCTATCTGTTTATATCATGAGATCGGTGTTGGATTAAATTGTGTCGATCGCTTCCACTTTCACCATCATCTCCAAGTTCCAGATGCACAAAGCTATGCGATTAGAACAGCTTGCAAGTATGCAACAATGGTAATGGTTAATCACGAGAAAAATAGAAGTTGATAACTATCAGCAAAACAATGTTCAACTCGACAGCAAAGCAGTTGAAGAATTGAATGATATTCACAACGACAAGTTAAAGGAAGTTGTTAAAGGACAAGCATAAGAAGATGTACATGTCCTGACGGCAAATCGAACCAGGCATTAAAAGCGATAGGTCAAACGTCATCAAAGATGACATGCATAAAACCATTATGTGGCATTTTGAGATTTACAATAATAAAAAAGACTTGTAGATTACTGATACAGCAGGCAGAAGAAAAGAGGATTAGTTAAAAAAATGTCATGCTGATAAAAATATGGTAGTTGCAGAGGTTACCAATAAAGAAAAAATTATCACTGGAATATTTGAACTCATCGCGGCTGAATAAAATCTCTCGCGAAAATACAACACATTGTTGACGGCACTGTGACGTCAAATGATGTAATGATATATATTTAACTAATGAGAAGGAAGCTTCCGCGTTCCCGATATTGTTATTATCATTTTTATGATTAATATTTACGCCAAGTTAAAATTAACTTTCTACTGTTATACAAATCCACGTGCAAATTTTCTGCACGAGAAATCTGCTCTTATTCACACAATCTTTATAGGTGTCGAAATCAATCAAGAGGTTTGTCTGCAGAATTTCCTTGACCCTCTAACGCGTTTTCTCCAATCTTTTTGTTTTAACCGATGTGGTTCTTTACTTTGGGAATAATTCTCAACGCGTCTGGTGACCTAAAGCGCTCTCTACAGTTGTCCCGCTGAAGAATTGGAAGAACCAATATAAAGCTTTAATACTTAAACACGAAACAATTTCTGCATTCGCGGATGGTGAATTAAAGACTATTCTAAAATTGCACGAATAAACAAAACCAAATTTACGGCAGCTACTCTGTTCTCAGAAGATTGTGCGCAAGAACGAGACCGCGAATGAACCAGAGCAGATGCAATTGACGTATATCGGTTCAAAGCGTTTCCATCTCATCTGTTGATACTGCTTATTCGTCAGGGATTGTTCAGGCTTGTAGTACGAATCTGGCAGAATATTTTGTTTGGGACAAGTGGACAAGCATCGATCGGAAAGAAGAGTATACAGTCTTTGTTACCACAATTTTAACAAATACATACACTGAGTTATTATTAGTCTTATTGCAAAAAAGAACAAATGAAAGCAGAGACCAATTATAAAATTAATGTAAATAATTCTTTTAAGACATTATATATACATGTTAAATATAAAACTCATTTTAACTCTATCTAGTGAACATTGTTTGCAAAAAGAAGCAATAAAGCAAAGCAAATAGTCTAAACGCTTCTCAATTATAAAAGTTAATGTAAATAATTCTTTTAAGACATTATATATACATGTTAAATATAAAGCTCATTTTAACTCTATCTAGTGAACATTGTTGTCCTTATTTGCAAAGCAAATAGTCTAAACGCTTCTCAATTATAAAATTAACTTTCAAGAACACAACAAATGTATCAAAGTGGAATGGAGTGGGAGGATGTTCAGTGGTGATGGCCGGGGATGAGATATCCCCGTTAAATTGTTGGCTCAAAGTGGATGTGAACTGGGAGGAGTTTCGGTGGCTTTCCTCATTCTCTTTCAAATGGCTTCAACAAGTGTGACATACAAACCTCCTGTAGCGATGACAGTATGACGTCCATACCCTGACATAGCTTATCTAAATTGCCCGATCGGCAAGTATATAGTTCATACTTAATAATAAAGTCTCTAAGTTCACTGCCCACGAACTCCCCCAGCTGATTCCCACCCAAATCTATCTCTACTCCGTATGCCAACAGATCCTCTGGTATGTCAGTCTTTTTTAACAATACATCATCCCTCCCCTTCAACCACTCCAGTATCTCCTGTAACTTTGGAGGAAAATCGCTGACAGCATCTTCCTCGTCAGTTTCCGCACCAAACACATAGTCTAATACATACGGAGCAAGCCACATCGGCCCGGGAAGGTCATGAAAGTTATTGTCCAGCCTAACATCTTCCCAAACCTTCCCAGGTATGATGCGCTTGCTGGCCGCCTACTTACTGTCCGACTTTCAAATACTCTCCCCAACTTACGACAACTCCATTCTCTCGCCTTGTCCCAAAATGTTTGGACAGTATCTTTAATGCCACCCCCTATGTCTATTACATCTTCCATACTAAATTCAACGCCTGTGGATGTGATTTGCTGCAGCGCCTTTCGAATGTCAACATCGCTCAGCTTATAGTGATCGAGAATGGCTCGGCCGAAGCGATTCGCGGAGTTTTAGCTCATCGTCTTCCTCTGTTTTTGCGAGGGAGATGGCAGACGACCTGTTAATGTTTGGTGTCTCAAGGAGTGAAGAACGCCGTTAAGCGTGTTTGCTTTATCACTTATTGATGTACGCTCCACTTTCTTCTTTTCTAAGCCTGCTGAATTAGTACTGGGAGATACACCCTCAAAGAAGTTGCTTTGCGAATGAGTTTTAAAAGACGATAATTGAAAAAAATTGTTTTGGGCTTGTTCGCTTCTCATGTGAAATCAATGTCTTAAATAAAAATTTCGACAATGGAATTGTGACATTGTTCACATTACACAGTATTAAGTATTACGGAGCACAAACTTTGATACCGATATAACTTTCACTTTTGTTTAACTTTCCGATTTGTGTTAATTATAATGCGATGATGGTACGCTGAATATCACAAAATGCGGGAAAAAATGGCTATAGCGATGCTTGGGGTCACCATAACAAGTTTTCATACTAACAAAAAGTCGAAACCCATTTGGATAGTTGCAGGCAATTAATTAAGACAAGGATGTCGAGTTTACTCTTGCTGTATACGAAATACAGTAATTGCAAAAGCTTGAATAAATATTTTACTATTGGTATCCAGAATGCAAAAGAGCAGAACAATGTATTCGCTTATATACTTTTCTCACAAAAAAAGTTTGCAAATAGCATTGCTCTTGTGAAGCGGCCTAATTAATAAAAAAATATCGATGGATTCAGAAGTGACATTTTCTTGCATTATAAAAATAAGTAGAGACAATAATACTATTATCGCAAAAAACCAATCGCCAAGAAACGTTATTTTCGCGACCGTGTTAAATATGACATTTGCATTAGAATAGTTTATTAAATTCTAATACAAGCCCGTAATAAATATATCTCCTATTGACAATACACCCCCCTGCCAAAAGTATAACGGTACGAGATTTCACTAGTGAAACATATAAAATATCGAAATTTTCAAATCGCTAACTTTCCACATCTTCTCGAACCAGATAACTGTAGTTTTAAGTGAGAGATATTAGCAATTTAAGAATATTACTGTTGCATGTGAGAAGGAGATGAAAGTTTTACATGCTAAATTTAAATGATCGACATAAATCGTATTAATATTAATACTTTTTGTTGAGAGTATAGACAGCAATTGGTAATACACTTGCCCGAAATAAGTAACGGACTCCCTTTAATTTTAGTTTGCAGAATACACTACACAATAATTTATTCATATGTTGTTGAGTAACTTTCTGGGAATTTATTACATGTTTAATATTTGGTTGGCCAGCCGTTATTGGCGATACATGCTTCAATCCTTCTTGGCATGCTTTTAATTAAATCCATATATACGGATTCCGGAATTTTGGCCCACTCCTCCAGTAAAGCACTTTCTAAGTCTGTAATAGTTTGGGGGCTTTTTTGAACGCTTTCGAAGCCGACGTTCCAACTCTGACCACAAATGTTCGATTGGATTCAAGTCGGGTGATTGACTTGGCCAATCGGGCAAAGTTTTAATCTTCTTTGCCACAATCCATTCTTTAACGTCTTTGGCTGTATGGATTGGTGCATTGTCTTGTTGAAACAAATAACCTTTTTCATTATGTTTTGTAGCAATAAAAACGCTTTATGAAAGCCAATAATTTGGTAACGTTCACTTTCAGTCAAGTCAGAATTTTTACGATTTAACGAACCTGACGTGTGTTTATATATTGGTCAACTTGGGTTTTTATTTTGTAAACAATCGACGATTAACAGACGCGACGACGCGTAATTTAGTCTACGTATCTACAAAAACCTAGGCTACAACATATAGAAAGTTTGGAATAATTATTATGTAGTGTATTCTGTAAACTAAAATTAAAGGGGGTCCGTTACTTATTTCGGGTGAGTGTATCTTAAAATTGCTAGTATCTCTCAATTAAAACTACAGTTTATTTAGCTTTAAAATTTATTGGTACTTGTTCGAGAAGATGTGGAAAGTTAGCGATTTGAAAATTTCGATATTATATGTTTTACTAGTGAAATCTCGTACCGTATTTATACTTTTGGTATGTGGAAAGAGATATACAATGAATAAGAAATAGAAGAAGGATCTACTGGAACAGTACTGAAAGCCCTCTCGCTTGCGTTTTAGTAATAGCTTCAGTAGTAGCTTTAGTAGTTGAAGTGTTTGTAAGAAAATAATGAAAAGAAACAAGATGAACACCGTTATCCCGTAGCTGCATCATCGCCAATATCCATAAGCTAACTGAAATTCCAAACTAAAATAGCAAAAGTCACTTAAATTGGCGTTTTGTGGCAGTTGGTAATGCGTCTTGCTTCTGGCGATACCATAGATGGCTATCGCTATCTCTTTCTTCGATTAGTAGGAACAACAAGCCATGGGTGCATTTGCACTTGTCGTGCTGCGAGTGAGTGGTTCGTGCGAGCGACGCAGTTGGTGATGGTGATGCGTTTTCTGATGTGATGGCGATGGTGATGGCGATGCAGCATATCGAGAAAGAGCTTTCTCGCAGCAAATTGGAATTCACTTACTGCCGACCTCTTGGACAAATTAGCTGAACCTTGCTGCAGTCAATAGAGTTGCGTTACTCAACTGTCTTTATGAATCTATTAGCATTTTTAAAGGCAATCAACCACCGCCCCCGGGAAACTTCTCACTGCTCGTTTGTGAAAATATATTTTTCTTGGCAGGCTTGAACTATTGAGCCGCCTCTATCAAACCGGAGAGTCTGTTCGCCCATCTCCGTCTTCTTCCCTAAGGCTTCTTCATTTTCTTCTTTGTCGTGAACCGCGATAAAAGGCTTTGCCCATTTCTTCAACATTAGAATTCCCCTCACTGAACCACAGTACAGCCGCAGGCCGGGGATACTTTATCAGAACCGTTGCCGGGCGACCATGTTGGAAGTGAGTACCACCCAGCAACAGGTTAAATGCTGCATCCACTTTTACGCCGACACGTTGAAAGCTCCGCCGCATTTCTTTTTTTCCTCGACCACGAGAAAACAGGTTTCTTCACCACTCAGTTTTAAATGTCCTGTTGAGTGGGATATTGCCGTACGTTGGGCCCTCGGGCAAGTTTACAGATAGGTGGTCAAAGAGAGGACGGTAATAATTTATTATAAAGAAAAGACGCATAATAATAATGCATTTGTGTAGGAAAATGTCTTTAGGTGGGAGACATGGTTTGTCCGTGTTGTTATATTGCGTAGGAGACAGATAGCGTGTTGTATATTGTTACACATGCTAACAATAAGGGGACTAACTATTAAAGGACAATGAAGTAATACGAGAAGCAATAGTTCTCTAAACGCGACTCCACAATAAACGCAATGGGCCAACCAAATTATCTGATCACAGATGATAGAATGTTACCAAATGTGTATAGTCCTGTTCGTGGATGAAGAATTCTCATTATAGACATACTTCTTTTCCGACACTTAACACGGATGCGCTTTTTCTGTTCGGTAGGCCTATTACATAGATGAAGGAATTCCTATCGTAAACACAGCTGCTCCTTTTCCATAAACGTCTCGACAATCCGGAATCAGACATGCAGAGGATGGATAAAGAGTTTCGCAACAGCATCATAATTATTTTGTCTGAATAATGGTAATGAATAAACAAGACATTTTCCTTTTTATATTTGTACGCAAATCTCTTCTATCAACTATCTGGCCCCTCTTCTACTACTTTTTCAATCACATAGGGCCTCTTCTGTCATTCAACCATTCAGCTAATCATAAGCAATCAGAGCGTTGGACGCTCGTAATCCGAGCTGTGTTCTGGCATGGTAGAGGTGGACACTATGTCATCAGATGTAAAAGGAGGGTTAGTTAATGATTTTTACGCTAAGTTTGTGATAGCTTGTTGAAAGGAACGATAGGGTGTTGGTGGTGGCGTCAGAGAGAAAATAAACAGAGACATAATACTGTATCTGCCGTGTAATTTGTACATACCAAGGCTTTGTGCATTCACCTGTCTTCAAACCAGCAGCTAAATAGCTGTTTTCCTCGTCCTCAAAAACGGCTATTAGAAGCTGTCATCACCCTTTAAAGAGTGCGCAGGAGCCCGTCGAACAGCGCCGAAAACTTGAGGTGACACGGATCGGAAATTATGGCGACGTATAAGCTGACATACATAGATCGCCTTTCTCGTTCCAATGCAGAGAGGATGGGAAATAGATTTTGAATCTGGGCTCATAAACAATGTACGTTCTCTTTACTAACTATGTCAGGCTGATTCCTTGGGAACGCGCGATAAGATGAAGGCTTACAAAATAGGAAAATTGTAATGTCAACGGACATACGATTGATGGGTCATCCTAGTAAGTATCTATAATAAGAAGAGTAGAAAGGACTGGATGTGAATGGAGTAGACTTGGGTCCAACGCAAGTCAATAAGTATCCATTTACATCACGAAAAATCAACCGCTACTTTTATCATCTTCTGTAAAGAGAATAAGTCTGGACCAGGATCCACTAGGGTTACTAGAGCTATCTTCGACGGGATTGGATGGATGCGAGAGAATGAAATAGGCAACGTGGCCGGTGTGGTTGGATTGGGAAAGCAACTGGTATACATTCGTTATCAACGTGATCGTATTATTCAATTATTTTTTATTTGAGATTAGATTCTCCATCATTAGCTGGTTTTTCGTCTGGGATGCTGGCGTTCACTTTCTGTTGTGAACTATTGCACTTGTGAACTATTGTGAACTATGCGAACTATTGTGAACTATTGTGAACTATTGCGAACTATTGTGAACATTGTGAACTATTGCGAACTATTGCTTGTGAACCATTGCGAACTATTGCTCTTGTGAACCATTGCGAACCATTGCTCTTGTGAACCATTGCGAACTACTGCTTTTGTGAACTATTGCTCTCATTACGTCTTGGTGAAGTATTTAAAATGCATACTCTTCAGGAAGGATGACTTTGGCGGATGCTTGGTTCGCAGGGTAATATTACACAAGATTGATTTCCCCGTGTGTTGAACTCATTCTCGTCGTCTTGGAATCTGCTCTCTCCGGTAAAGCCTAAATCTTACGTCACAGTCTGTTTCACGCTCTGTAACATAGGTGGGAACGCTCCGATTTCCAAAGGAAATTTTGACTTGCACGCGTTTTTGAGTATTCGAGCGGCTATGAAGTGGGTGTATCCAAAATCCCTTGCATGAAGTCTTCGTTTCCGGTCCCAAATTTGTTGTTGGGGGTCTGTAAGTTAAATATTTTGATATTAGCGTTCGTATCATTGTTACTTAAAGCAGCCCAACAAATTAACATGTATTATTTAACGTAAAACTTACCTATGAGAGAGGTGTATTGTAAAGATCAGACGGAGAGTTGAATAGCGACCGCTATCATGTTCGTTACGGTCGTTAGGGTTATTAGGTCGATTGTTTGAGGAAGAGTAATTAGGTCGGTTGTTAAGGAAGCGGGGAGAGGGGTGGGTCGGGAAGGCCGCTGTAAAAGTTTTGCTGGGGACGTGAATATATACGTATTCGCCAATAACAATTTCCTTTTTTGAAAAGTGTGCTCGTTATCTCATGGTTCACAAAGAAATCAATGGCATATTAATATATAAATAGCAAATTTTAACCGAATTAGTATTAATGTGTGTGTATTGAACTTTGGGACACGATCGTTGATTTTATCGTCGATATGCTCATTGGATTGGCATGCAGTCCGCACTAATACAACAATAATACCCAATCCCGAGATTGGTCCGATCATACCAAAGCTCTTTCTCTATATCCGGCATGCCAACGCCACAAACTTTCGGCACGCAGTTGTAGTCCTTCAGCGATCACGTCGGCCAAGATTTGTATTTGTTACGTCAACTTGTAAATTGGCGCACAACCAGTCTCCGCACCGCACAAACACAAACTCGGCAAAATCCATCCTCTTTGTCAGTCATCAATGTTTGAGAGCAATATAGGCGATTGCCGGGAAAAGTTGGAAGATTCGGTTATCTGGCTGATCGTGTGTGTGATACTCGCATCTATCACAGAACGAACTGTCTATTATAATGGGAAGCTGCAGGTGGATGTTGGTATAGCTATTCGTGACGACAGACGCGATTTGACGGCGATGGTCCAGGCATGTTGTATTTTCTATCAGGTGTTCCAAGTATTGCTGTGATAGTTCAACGCAAGCAATTATTAATCATTATTTATTCCAACTACATTCTGAAAATTGCAGGCCATAGAATCTCTCAATGAATCTTTACACAAACAACATGCGTCTTGATACTCGGTGGACATGTTGTTAGAGGTTAATAACTACCTGTATGCGTAGGAGGTCTCCATGGACAATGTATTATCTTCACGTATTACAGTCTTGGCTTAAGGGACATGCCGGTCCTTGGACAATCAGCTGTCAGACATACCGAAACTGATACGTCAACAACGGTGATCGTTTTATTGCGAGCACCAAGTAAGAGTATCCGAAAATTTGAATAATGGTATGTAAATTCCCATGATCCACGAGGATTGGCCAACATATTTATTCATTAATTATCTATTAATCATAATAACTCTGTTCTTTTCTCTTGATTGGACGTGGATGCTTAGGCTTGCTCTTGGTCATGTTGAAGTATTGGTGGTGGTGATACGGAGACCCCGATGATGCCGTGGCGTGGGAATGGGCTTGTTGCGCGTGCAAGCCAGATGATGCGAATTGCTCTATCATAGGAACGACGAACCTTTACTACCCTCCTAATCATTAATTTTTATGCCAGAGCCTGTATATTGTATCTAAAAAAAAGGACTAATGACTCACGCGTATGGGCGGGCCATTCCAAGACCAAACGCAAGTGAATACTCATCCTTGGATTCCCGTACTGGAATATCTTACGAGGCGAATTCGGTTTACTGAACAGCTCTTATGGCTTGGATATTATTTCGTAAACGGCAAGCTGAATCGCGTCATTAACAAGCATGTTCGTAGAAGATGGGATTTAGCCTTTAATCACTACCAACGGCTACTGACAAAAGGAGAAATTTGAAGTGATGTAGATAGACATTAGAACGTGTTCTGCGCTCTAAAACTAGAAACGCAGATAATCAGAAAGAGGTTGGAGTCTAAAGCATGTCGAACAAATCATTCATAATGGATTGGATCGATTGTAGAACTCGTAAAAATCGTCAGTTCTTACATGAAAGTGGCAGGGATTTATGAACAACACGATGAGCTGCCCTCTCAAATGAACTTGGTTACATCCATTCTCTTACAACCGAGACAGAACTTCTCAGACAATAGATCAGTGGTGAAAGGACTTGAGCACGGTTGCCCGATTCGTTGTATAAACTATTATTTATTCGATTATATGCTGGTAATTGATGAAAGGACCAACGCCTCTCGACCGGCCAGGTATGTTAAGTTGCATTATCAAGGAAGATGGGTAAAATCTGAAGCATTTGCTAACACAATTATCGATCCTTCGTCTAGATTTGCAACAGAGTATACTTCCATCACGCACCTAAATCGCAATAGAGCACAATATGAGTGTACGGATAACCTTAAGATATTGACTCCAATGCCATGTTAATATCATTCAATGCATTGTCATGTTGTTTTAAATAGTTTCTCTACAGCACAGTGTATATGTCATTTATGGACACGTTGTCTATTTCTGTTTCAATACTCCAAACGACAGTCAACAAGTTTAGAGAATCAAACGATGTTTTCTTGAAAAAAGATCGGAAAGAATGCTAGCAAAGTCGTCATACCTCGAGATTATCACAATCCGGCATTCCCATGCGATAATATTCAAGTTACGATGTGACACGGACTCGGCATAATTTATTTGTCGCATTAAGAACCTTTGGCCTATTAATTAGAGACAACACTCACCGAAGAGAGCTACTTTAACAGCATCCTTTCTCATCGGATGACAGGTTAGCCTAATGTCGGGCTGTGCGGACCTGTAAGATTATATGGATTTATATTATTCGACTTTATTTTTGAGAGTCATTTGTGGAATAGGTTTGGATCTTAGGATTTCAAGTGAGTATATGAACTATATGCAATGCGCATAATATGTCGACAATTAATTTACTAGAGCAATTTGATGTTTCAGGAAAAGCAACAAAACGAGCGGGTTTTGGATCAGATGTTTACTTGGTCGCCAACTCCGTCTCACACCATTCGAGAGCTGCCAGTATGACTTGGTCCCCCATCATCACCATGCTTTGTCAAGCTCTAGAGCATAAAGCTATGCAAGAAGAGTAAGAAGTCGAAAAAACAAAATCTATGGCGAAGTTTTCCAATTATGGGTCAGGAACTGTGACGGCTCATTTTTTGACAAGCCCATGAAAGACAGATCAAGGAATTAAACGAACGAATCAGAGCTTTCCATAAAAGAAGCTCAAGAAAAGCTACAACGAAATTGAACGAACGATTACAAAGGGAACGTTCATATCAACAGGCTTTTTATTACCAAACTATTCAATCAAGATATTTCCTACTTTTAATGGGTGATAGTTCTGCGTCCTCTGCGTTGCCTGTAAAAGCTGGATAAGAGTCGGCAAAGGTGAACAAGAAGAACTCGAGTAAAAAAGTAGCATTCGACAAGATAAGCTGTTAACCGTGAATCCAGTCCTAGTCTGAAGTAAAGTCATCTGTAAAGAGTCAAAGTCAAAATACTACAACGGTAGTGGTTGATCACGAGAAAATAAAAGAAAGTTGATAAAACAATGTCCAATCGACGGCAACACAGTTGAAGAATTGAATAACACTTACAATGACAGGTTGAACGAAGTCGTTAACGGACAACCGAAGAAGATGTGCATATCCTGGCGGCAAATTGAAAGATCTAAAAAGTGGCAGGTCAAAGATAACGTCCCAATGAAACCATAAGTTGGACGAAATTGTAATGAAGACACGTCGAGTGATGCTATTATCAAAGGAATTGTACGAAGCCATTGAAGATAAGTCAGACGAGACGCTATTAATAATGATAAGTCGAACGATAAGTAATGATTGACGGCAACGAGTTGATTGAACAATCAATGACTTTAAGCAGAAAAAACGTCAAATGAGACAAAACAGCGAGACCCAGCCGGAGAATATCCGAATCCGAAAAGCTCGCGACCCACACCGGTCCCGTTATATCTACGTATCGAAGAATTGCTAGACTGATATACATTATTACGCCGGCTGCCAAAAAGACGCAAACCGTTAAGGATTTTTTTAATTTATCGCAGAAATTATGTGGCAAGTTTTCCTGACAACCAAAGGCCATGCTTCAAAGAAGTGAGCAAAAAACGGCTTCTGCCAAGTGTATGGAAATTACCTACCGCAATCGCTTCCGCAGATTGGATGAGGCAGACAGAACCAGTCAGTCAGAATGTCTCATATTGCCATTCGGTTTCATTTCCTGCAGAGGTTTAATGTTGAGGCCGCTAAAGTGAATTATAATCATGGCATACTGTTCCCACACGTGAACACGTGGATTTACGTGTAGTATACAGTGTAAGATCATTCGAGCATAGCCCATGTCGGTTCAAGTTCGATTCTGGGTACTAATTCACAAGTTAACTTGAAAGTGGTAATTTAACTTCTTTTATTGGTCGCGCTAGCCATTAAAAAAAAGCTTTTGGTTTTAACTCTAACAATAAATCAGTTTGTTGGTTGGATAAATTGTCCTTTATCGTAAACAATAAAAATTGGTGTTTGACCTCGATTTTTTAAACTATCCCAAGTACTCTGATTTTGTTCATCCAATTTACATTGACGGATTGGCGACTTTATCCTTCCGACAGTGGGGGCAAAAGTATTAGTGGCTCATTTTGGTTAGTATTTGCTTATGTGTAGTGTGATTGGTGCACAACAGGTTCTATTAGGAATAGAAAAAAACCGTAAATAAACCGTAAATAAACCGCAAAAAACCGTAAAAAACCGTAGATAAACCGTAAGAAACCGCAAAAAAATCGTAAAAGGCCAGGAAACCGTAGAAAACCGTAGAAAACATCTCACGCGTATAACATTTCCTCGTGGTGAGTTTGAAAATCCTTTTTTGTTTATCTCAACGTTGACGTAAAACGGAATCTTGATAAGATACCTAATACTAATGACTTGGACCACACGTCACGTACTCGCGTGACTTCTTCATGCACATGGTGGGTATTTTAAACCATTCTTTCTACCAACTTGAAAACTATACAGTCAGATCGATCAAATGAATTGTCTGTTTGTTTTTATTTTTTGTATTTTGTTTTAATTTCAATCTCTCCTTCCGTCCTCGGCAAGAAAATCAAGTCCAGTGAAGACAAAAGTTTCTACTCCAAAAGTACTTACAAATCGTAATCGAGGTCCAGTAAGCGGCTTGATGCTTTAAGTTTAGCCGTCCACGCTGACACTGGAGATCGACAGCCTTAATTAGAATATTATATTCGGCTTTTCATGTTATACGTCAATCATCAGCTTTCTGCAAAAAGGCTAGTTGGTATGCACGAAAAGTGTGCGTAATTTTTATGCAAGGGGACATAGCCTAGGTACTGCCATATTGCATGAACTCGTCCTTGTCCGTTCCGTGAAAATATACAGTACCAGACATAGGATTGTTCCGTTACACTGCTGATGTTACACCTAATCGGCGAAGATGATCAAATTCTTATCCCATTTCAATTTACGAAGGTAGTTAAAAAAAGTATTAACAAACTTGTTCTACGGGTTTAGGTTTCCATCCATTAGTCGGTTTTTTTTTTCACACGTAAAAATTATCAGTAGAGCGGCAACTTCTTCTTGGGTGGTGTTCACTAAAGAGGTCGACAGAAAACTTGCACGACTATCCCATTCATAAATTTATGCTGGGGTTAATATTGCTACACAATTTTCCCCAGAAATCGGGATTCTTGTTAGAAAAGCTTGACACAAAGCTCCTGAAACTGATTGAAAGTTTGTCAATGAACCTCTATTTTAATTTTACAATGGTATGTTGTACGTTCTACAGTCGATAAATAGAACAGGACATGTCATTCAAGAAGATGTTCTATAACGATTTCCTTTTATGCAAGCCATTGAATTAATGTCTGCAGTGTAAATAGTATTATTGTCCCGAAAACTAAAGATGGCATTAATGGACATATCAATCTACAGAATTGGGGTCAATGTAGACGTTAATATTGTGTGATAAATTGGTGTCACGTAATTTATGTATTTTATGTAGAACACATTGTCCGAATTTTATACGCAGAAGGTTTCTTATAAAAGCAGCGACACTTTACGCCGTGGAGGAATTAACTGTCCTATTTCGGTAAAGACAGAGACAACAAAGTTCCATCTTCTCATTATGTAATTAATTCATCAGGAACCTATCTTCAAAGCAGCGATAATATTTGCGTAATAAAATCAAATGCTCACCATGCGGCTGAAATATTAATCAAACATCGTGTCTCGCTTATAACAACCCATCTATCACTTCGATTTCGTATGACCGAGGATCCTCGTTCGAATTTACTTCGTCTCCACATATACGTATTAAACTCGTAAAACGTTAGCTCTGTACACAGCATTATCACTACGATATATCGGTATGTTACAATTCGGCTAATGCCAATAAATTATATGTGTTTTTGTATACTTACCACTTGTCTTCTACATTATACATAGCATTCTCGCTGGCTCTCCACCGGTAATATCATATAACGCCACCATGAATTTTCCGAATGGATAGCCGTCATTTTCTCTGGGAGAAATTAAACTTATATACTTTTTTTACTATTTTTTTTTTTTACTATTTATTTTTACTATCTATTTTTATTTTTATCTTTTTTTTTTCTATTTTTTATCTTTTTTTTTATTTTTATCTTTTTCCCCCATCTTTTAGTTCTTGTCATTCATTCATTTATTCATTGTTCAGTTCATCAGAGGAGAAAATTAATAAAAGGCATCACCACCACGAAGTAAACCCATTTTTGTTGTCAAATGATGAATGAATTTACGTCTTATATAAGAAAACTTGAATATTACTATCGTAATTTAACAACCCGTCCATTGATAAGTTAGCAGACTTATGGCTGCAGTCAAATAACTGGCAGCATGTGTCGATTAAACATACAACGCTTTATTTAAAGAAAAAAGATACAAACTTGCTTAATTCATGGTTACATAGATCTTATCGTCTATACTTTTGCTATGTAGCTAGTAATCACGGATTTACAATAAACTAGAAGTAATAGTATGGTATCTAACTTATTAAATTAATGTATCGGATTATCAATTACCACAACTTGCAGTTGGATGTTCCAGACAATTGCCTCCTCCTTGGTCTTTGATTTAAACGTAATTCGTAAACAACACAATTTAGCTTATTCCGTAATGATCTATGATAACAATTTTATAATAATAACAGAAGCATCAATCAAATAATATGTATCACTTTATTGTTTGTGTAATGGCCCACCAATCCGAATAGATGACAACACTTACTTTGGGGCGGTGGAAGCACAATAAAGCGACCTTTTAAATTGTCATTTCGTTTTATATACTTGTAATTTATGCAGCGCAGTTGTTTTATAATTAGCTAACTAAATGGTAGACTATTTTTGGGTTTACCATTAAGAAGCCTCGTCTTGGTAATTCTATACAGTATGTTGTTATTAGGAAAACATTTGCTTGGACAATTTACACAATGCAGAAATATCAACAATTGACATTGTAGAATTAATATTTTAATTTTGTAATTGAGTGACTTACAGTATGTCGCACACACACAAGCCAAAGATCATTGTTTAATATTCATATTTACTTTGTAAATAATAAATTTATTATAAACGTGTTAATTGCAAATGGTAGGCTGTACTAGTTTGTTTTTTAATATAGTACAATTATTTAATTAATCGATCGATTATATTTTAGCATTTTAATTGCAATAGAATATCATATATTAATATGAAGTCTGTAAATTTTTATACAGCCAAAGATAACTTAATCATTATGGTAATTACTAAATTGTTGGATAACAATTAATAAATAGGCTTTTGGCGTAGCACATCTTTTTATTTGTTTCATTCATGCAAATACAGGTAGATCTGAACCGTGGAACCTTATTGATTCGTGTACTATTTCTTAAAATGTTTGGATATTTGTAACAAGATACTAATGAATAACACAGCATAGATGAGCTTGCCATTGAAGAATGAATTCGTTCCAGTGTACGCTTGTAACCCCGTTGTCGGCTCAACAAAGAGTTAACATGCCCCTGAGATTCTGACACAGCATCAGCCGACTTGCTTTATTTGTTACACACGTAATGACCCCATAAACGTTAAAGCAACCAGTAAATTTACAAGGCAACATACATGTTATGAAAGTGCGGGTCTAGTGAAAGAAACACACGCTAATCGTAACAGTTAAAAAGTCGAAACATCAAAAAGAAGCAAAACCTCTGTTATCAGATATTAATATTAAAATACTAAAATTTGCATTCGCTGATTGAAATCACACTGGATTTTCAACCCTGGTATTAGGATGCAATAAGCAGGCCAAGCCAACCCTCGGGCATTAATTGGGCAGCTGTTTCTTCGCATTCGAGATGCGCACTTCTATTCTCGCCTGCAAAATAGAATCAAGCATCAATGGAATGCAATGTTTTGGCGCCGACTTTATGTTAACTCGCAATTTAAGAAATGTTTTATCGCAAAATTGGGGTATTGACATTTATTATGAATAATAATAGCACTGTAAATTAAGGATTTTGTTTAACGAATTTTTCCTCCTTCCCCGAAATCTAATCTAGAACTCTTTTATTTACAATACATATTCAGCGCGGTTATTAGCTTCTATTGAGTGATACGTTAAACAACCATCATTTACCATACATATGGAAATAGAATAATAGTAAATAAATAGTACTTCCATGCTTGACAATGATTGGCTCTCTTGGAGTTTGAAAAGTGACATGGAAATCTAATTTTTAGTCGATAAACAATAGATATGCAGACTTTTAACAATTTCCGTATAAGTTTATATTAATTAAGCATAATCGTTTTTCAATGAAAACTTTGATGCAATTGTTGACAAAAATTAACACTTATATTGTACACCCTCTCCGAAGAAGAAGAAATCCGAAGATTCCATGAAATCTGCCACTCCCTTGACGAAGAAGAAAGAAAGCCTAATCCAGGATATTAAGCCCTCGGAACCTGGACATACATCGACAATGAAGATGGATGGCTGTTCAGAACCATCGAGCAACAACCCCGTCTGTAATAGGACTGCGGAGTTTTTATTCAGGAAGCACGGACAGCAATGGGAACAAAGATTTAAGGAATTCGCCCCTAAAAGACCCACCATTACAGAAGAGGAAGTCACCTGGGTATACTCCGGAAGCAAAGCGAAGAAGTTAAAAAGTATGCCCAAAGGTACCAGTTCGATCAAGAATACTGAAACCGCCGAAAACAAAGGGCCAAGCAAGTAGGAAATCGGGAGCCCGACCACATAACGACTAGTTTACTATTGCATCATATCACTACTACACTTACTACATAAAAAGCAATACATCTCTGGCATCATAAAAAAATACCCCGATTTTCAAACAAATGGTACTCATACTTGATATCATCTTCATTGCTTTATTACTGAAATAAAATTAAATTAGCTCATACATCGGCGCGGAATGATAAAAAAGCTTTGGCGCGCATATTAATACGCGTCCTGCATATCATAGTGTTCAATGCCCCTCACCTCAGACCATAACAAGAGAATTAAAATTTTGTTTTAATATAAACGGAATTTAGAACTGGGAAGCCGAGGGCAAAGAATAACTCTTGAGTTTACTAGGCAGGAAAGTGAACCGCAAAGACTCAACTCCATTGCCTTTCCGCACGCGTTAATGATTTGTCAAACTGCGTGTTTTAAGCGCTTGCTTCGACTCAACGGGGAGCCGACATCGAGGTTCCAACTCCCCCGGTCAATGTAGACTAGCATTGTAAGTGAGCCATGAAGGCAGTTGGTGAGGAGTCAGCAAGGCCGGAAACAAATAAAAGTTAATAATGGCACGTAGGGCAAGCGCGCGCTGAGATTATAATATTGTGTCATCTAACACTCTAATTCATCTATTTTTAATCGCAAAAATAAAATCAACTAAAGAAGCCCCACACTACGTTTATTATTATTTATTTATTTTACCAAAACGACCTTAAATGCGGA